TGATACCCAACCATAGGTCTCCATGTTATCCCACTCAGCTGATGAAGTTCCGTGTCTAGTCAAGATTGGGGCATGGATGAGACCGAGCTGGCTGAAGCTCTACTCAACTAAGACTGAGGTAGTGATGATGGTTGTTTGGGGCAAGCGGCTGGAGGAGAGGACAGAGATAAGATCAGTCCCTGTGACTGAGGAAGTATGCTGCCATTAGTTAATGGTGTTCACAACTTAGGGGTGATTCTAGACCCCTCACCCCCCCCCCCCCCGCTACTGTTTGGCAATCATAGCTCAGCAGTGACCCAGTCAGTTTTTCACCATCTGCATCTGGCTAGGACACTGGCCTTTCCTTTCAGGTGCACACCTTCACATGGTTACCTATGCTTTTGCCACCTGACGATCACGATATTGCAATTTGCTCTACATTGGGCTACACCTTAAAACCATTCAGAGACCGAAGGTGGAACAGAATGCAGCAGTTTGCTTACTGAGAAGGTCATTGTGACACCCGTGTCAGGATCTGCACTAGTTGCTCACTGGTCTTTGGGTAGAGTTTAAGGTGTTGATTTTGACCTCAAACTATAAATGGCCTGGGACTGACCTGTCTGAGGGACTACCTCTCTCACCATGCCATACTGCCACAGCTGCAGCCAACAGGGGGCGCTCGAGGTGGATCACTTTCATTATACAAGAGAAGCTACAGCTGGCAAGGCCTTTTCTGTGAGGGCCTGAGACTTTGGAACTTGCACCCTGCTTGGTCCAAGTTTGGGGACTCTCCAGTCATACTGCAAAATAAATGTGTTCAATAGGGTTTTGCGAGAAGGCTGGGGATGTGCTTCCTAGGTGATGAAGGTTGCAGCCTGACTGGCCAGACAAGTTCCTGTGAAGTGGATTTTAATGCTGCTGAGGTCTAATTTAATAGTAGTTTAGTTATTATACGATTAATTATGTTAGGGTGCCTCGAGTCTTTGAATGATGTCTTTATCATTTTAAATCTAAATACATAAACACACAAACACACCATGGAACTTGATTCTCAAGGCTTTTGGGAACCAATAGGGTTAAGTAAAGTAATGTGCTAAGTCAGTAAGGGATTCCTGTATCAGAAAGGCTGGGACAATTTTCTGAAGGAAGCTCTAACCTACTTCACCTCCCACCTACCGTAAATCCTTACTTATCTCTGGCCTGTGCTCCCCAGGTGAAATCTCTTGCTAGTTTCCAAATCAACTGTCAGTTGGGAAAGCCAGTGGTGAAGAGCATTGTGTGGGTTAAGGTTTGTACTGAGGTGCTTCAAGAGAAGTAAATGCTATTGCACTGGACCATGTCAGGATTCATGTCTCAGCTGTGAGTGTGTATCTCAAACTATGAAACATAATGTCAGGAAGGGAAGAGAATAAGTAGTTTGAGCAGGTTTGTCACTGGGCGCAGCTTCCTAGTGGTTGTTTTACAAATTGCCAGATGGGCAGTAAGAATGACATTTTATACCTACCAAACAGATGCAGCTTAGAAAGTGACATTAGGTCCACTAATGTTGAAGCAGCAAGCACACAGACACTGTTTGCCCTTCTTCAGATTCTCAGTTCAGTGCAGCTGTTTTCTCAATGAGATCACAGGCAAAACATCAACTTAATAATGCCAGGTTGGCAAATTTCAGCAGTCCTAAGGAGCCAGTGCTAATCTGCCTCCAACACGCTGGCATGTCTAAATGACACCGAATGAACAAAATGCTTTGGGCAGAAATGTTGACTTCTTTAATTTCATTCATTTTTCATTGCAAAAAAAATTAGTTTCGATCTTTAAAGACAATGGAATGAATTTCATAGAATCGTAGGACTGGAAAGGACCACGAGAGGTCATCTAGTCCAGGCCCCTGCCCTCATGGCAGGACTAAGTACTATCTAGACCATCCCTGACAGGTGTTTGTCTAACCTGCTCTTAAAAATCTCCAATGATGGAGATTCCACAACGTCCCTAGGCCATTTATTCCAGTGCTCAACCACCCTGACAGTTAGGACGTTTTTCCTAATGTCCAACCTAAACCGCCCTTGCTGCAATTTAAGCCCACTGCTTCTTGTCCTAATGCTCGTGAAGAGGGATTCGTCGCGGTGGTCTGAACGGACCACGAAGGGCCTACCTGCCCTGCAGCGAGAGCTGGCACTGTGACACATACTTGAGCTAATTTTGATCAATAGCAATGAAGCCGCAGCAGCCCAAGAGGCAGCATGGGCTGTAGAACTCCACCCAGGACCCTGGGTACGCGCTCACGTGGCTAGCCTGTGCTGCCATGGCTTCACTGTTATTCGAGTTACCCTAGCTAGCTTTGATGTAGCTATATCTACTATGGGCTGCAGTCACAATTCTAATTGTGACTATATCCAGAATGGTGAGGCTCTGTACAAGCTTCCTCATAGAACTCTTCCAATGCATTTCAGTCCTGTCCTTTCACAACCGTTTGTTCCGGTCTACGAATTCTGAATGCACCCCTCGTCATAGCATCTAGTGACCATTCAGATGAATTAATAAAAGTAAATTTGCCATCCTACTAAAATCATATTCACAGTCATATACTGTGCTTCCAATGCACTGCAATCCTGATCTGCCAAGCCACCATACAACTCTGTTAATACACTTCATTATCACTCTGAAGCATCTCCTGCAATTCTAGTCCTTGGCCTTTCTTGAGCAGACAGTCAGTGGTACTATTGATATTTATCTGGCTCAGAAGTGGTGGTTATTTTCTCCTGGGATGAAACCCTGAGGCTTTAGCTTTCTGAACTTTCTCTTTTCTAAATTTCTTACCATTTATTTTACAGGTAGAGTGTGTTCCGTGTAAAAACACGTTTTCCTTTTATTTTGTAGCAGCAAACTTTGGTCTCATCAGTGCTGATGAAAAGCTTTTGCAAGAGGCCTTGCTTTAGCAGAACATTTATGCACATAACACAGTCTCATTGCCATCAATAGTCTAAAGCATGTGCTTCAAGCAACACACGTGCTTCAGTGCTTGGCTGAATCAGAACCTGAGCTAGAATATAAATTAATTGCAAACTTTTCATCTATCTGCAAGAACCAAGTAACAATTTATTTCTAAAAGAATCTTTGATCAAGCTCTTTGAAACAAAAGCCTATTCTCTACATTCCCATTTTACCTCAAACAAATCTATGTTTCTTGTGGAAGTGAGGGGGCTAGTTTCCAACAAACATAATTTGAATAGATGTGGTGGAAGCTTCTCCTAAATAGTTCTGGAAATGCAATGCCAGTCTTTACCAGCTACACCACTGCTATTCTAGGGCCTGATCCTGAAAGCTCTTACACAAATAGTCCTATTGATTTCAATGAGACTACTTGCACCAGTAAGGATTACTCACATGAGAGAGGAATTGTAGGGTCAGGCCCTTAGCGGAGGAGCTGTTTTAAGCAGTGATTGACAATTATCCAAAACTGTGGGTTGGTTTTGTAAAACGTGCAGAATACTGTAATTTCAGTGCAATGATAATTATAGGCAATGCCATATGCCTGTGTGGTACGTACATTTCCCTTTAGGAGAGTTACATGAAGCATATTAAATAGGCTGAAGGAAACGTTAAAAAGACCCAAAAACGTAAAGACAAAAAGGTCATGTGTAACCCAGCTCGGAGCGTTAAGCAGAGCTTTGAAAAATGAATCTCTCAGGAAGACATTCTGAGTTTGAGCGGAGAATGGTAATAATCTGAAGGTAAAGCTAAGTAAGCATAGCTATGGTTAAAATATTTTTTTTCCATTTGTGCTTTACATGATCACAATGGTGCCCTTGTAATAAATAAAACACATGAAAAAACGGGTATATTTAGCGATAGAATGTTTTCATGGCCAGATTACGCATTTCAGAAATCTTTATTGGGCTGATCCTGTCCATGGGGCTGACTGTCTTTGAGGTGTTGAGTGCCCCCTCAATGACCCTAGGCTTCCGCACCTTGCAGAAACAGGCCCTAGGTTAGGTATCAGTGGGGTGCTGAAGGGATAGCTCCAGTTTACCTCCTTGCATTCCTAGACAGTCTCTGCTGATCAAAATCAGTTGGGAGGAAAGAACTAAGTGAACTTATTGCGTAATGGAACTTAATTACTGTGCAATTAAATTTCAAATCACTCTCAAATGGATATCATATTGTCAACCTTTCAACATGTTTGCCGATATCCCAGTAATTAAATAACTTTGCCTCGGCAGAACAATCGTATAAACTAAAGCAGCAGGAGCAGCAACTGCAGCCTGGCGGCATATTTGCATGGTACACATTTCTGATGCATGCAACACATAAAAGGCCAGATGTAAACTGACATCGCTCCATTCACCTCACTGGAGCGGGGCTGGATTTTTACCAGCGAAGGATCAGGTTCTGCATCTCAAAACGGAATTTATAAACAGCCGCAATAGGGTTTTCCGCTACGGATAACAGCACAGTGCAATGGAAAGACCAAAAGGGAGGTTTATTCAAGCGTGAAGGGTTACTTAAAGATGTGTCTCTCCTGTTTTCATTTTGATTTCTCTCTCTGCGCAAAAGAAACTGAAGCTCACTTGCAATGGGCACAGTGAGATCAAACAATAAAACAGCAGCGCTGGTTCCTAAGTCTTCATCCCACTGAAGGCAACACGTTTCCGCCGAGGAACAAAAAGCCCCTTGAAATGTGTCTGCCGGCACTGGAGCATACAGGAGCCGAGAGAGATTCCCCTGTGAAAGTGACCTCCTTTTGCCTTAGGAAGCATATTCCAACAAACCGACCTTTGACGCCAGCTCCTATTATTCACGGTTAAGGAGCACAAAGGGAGAGGCGGCAGGGAGGAAATGTGACAAATCCACTTTTTTTTAAAAAAAAACACATTCATCAAAAAAAAAAAAAACATGCAGGAAGGAGACAACAATCAACGACTCCACCCGCACATCTGCCCTGCCCTAGCTCCCAGCTCCCCCCGCTAAGGGAGGGCGATGCAAGGCGTGGGGGGGAAGGCTGATGCATGCGATCTCTCCCTTACCTTGAGGAACAAAAAGAGCCATAGCAGCGAGCCGAGGGTCATCCGGGTGCTGCTCCCTCCCTTCGGCCGGGGGCCGCTCATTGAAGTGCAGGGAGCCTTTTGCGCGCAGAAATCTCAGCCGGGCTGCGGGGGTCTCCCCCCCGGCTTTTCTTTCGGCTGGCTGCGACCTGTGGTTCGCAATGGCGAACTGCTGCAGCATCAAACGGTTGGAAGCACAGGCTTCCCTCCCAGGAGACACATCATCCCTCTCCTTCCCCCCTTCATGCGTTATACTGGGGGGGCGGGTGTATTTTTTTCCAGTAGTTTCTTTGATCTCTTAATTAAAGAGGAGGGAGGGGGGTGAATCGATACCCTGCGGCGGCTGTGCGCCTCCTCCTTCTCTAGAGGTGCAGACGGTGGTCAGCTGAGCCTCCAGCTTCCCTTTGCTCCGGTCCTTCCCTATTGGCTTCCAGTGAATGAGTGAGGAGTCCTCGTTCCAGGCTGAAAGTGACGAGCAGCCTCCCACCTCTCCCTTCCGCACCCTCTCTTAGCTCCACCCTTCCCCGCCCGCAGGCGCTGCCCCCGCTGCCAAACCAGGGCTCTCATGCGTGTTCCCCAGCCGGTTCTCCGGTCTGTCACTGTTCAGGCCAAAAACAAAACAGTCCCAATGCAAAATGCATCCTCAGCCCTGCCTCCCAACCAAGTTTGACAAGATCCTCATCTATCTTCCCCGAGAAGCAACTGGCCAAAGGCCCTCTCAGCATGGGGCCCCTCCCATTTCTTCCCGGCAAGGTAGTTTCAAACTAAGCTGCCAGAGGGAGAAAACACAACAGGGTAAATGTGGCCATAAAAACATTATTATTCCCACCCGGTCTCTCTAATATCCTAGGACCAACACTGCTAGAAAAACACTGCAAATAATATACCCTGCCTGGGACATTATGGTGATTTCAGTCTATACTTTCCAAGGGAGGTTTCCAGTTACTTGCCTCTGTCGACCTCCATCTAGAAACTGGTTCTATTAATAACTGTCCCACACTTACAGTATCTGAGAATAAGATCTAGTGTCTAATTATGGTCCTGATCCCAGTTATGACTCTGTGCACATGGACCCTGCACCCATACAGATCGCCACAGACTTCTGGGTGGCTGCTCATAGTGCTTAAAGTTAAGCATGTGCATAAGTTTTTGCATGATCCAGGCTTAAGTGCTTAATCATGCCAGGTGCAGAGCATCAATTGTGGGTGCTCAACATCTTACAGGAGGTATTGAGGACATGCAGCAGGAAGCCCCAAATGCTCTAGTATCATTGCATCACCCAACCCACTCAAAAAAAAATCCATTCAGACCTCCAGGAGGAAAAAGTTGTTCCTAGGATTTCCTTTGCACCTTTCCAGTTGGAGCTGGCAGATGGCACTACCCAGAATCTCTACAAGGCTGCTTGCTGTGTTCCTCCCACCCTACCCCCTATGCTGGAATTTGTGGAGCAGGGTGATCCTTGGCAAACATTCTTATGGCTGTCCTCCAGCATGCTTGTGCCTGGAGAATTCTCCCCAAGCCAAATACAGAACTTTTAGGGCCCCTTTACCACACTAGTCCTTTTATCTGGTGTAAAGGGGCTGAAGAAGGGGCAAGGATCTCACTTTCATGTTTTACATTGCCACTACAGTATAACCCTCGCACTCACCTTATACCCTTTTGAAATCAATGGGGGTTAAGGGTCTTCAGCACTTCTCCAGTGATCAGGCTAGTGTGTGTATATAACTGGAATCCACAGGAGATGATCATTTTAATTATTTGTATTAAGGTAGCCCCCAGGGACCAATCAAGATCATGACACTATTGTGCTAGACACTATATATGCCCAGAGTAATAAGCAGTGGCTGCCTGGAAGAGCTTGCAATCTATACAGAGAAGACAGACAAAGGGTAAGGGAAAGGAACGTGACATCCAAGCAGAATGAACAAAGTGATGGTTGGCAACCTCTGGTGGTCAGTCATGTTAGGTCCATGGTTTTTGGTGACTGTTCCCTGGAAAGTCTTGGGAAGCAACTGAAAAATTGCAAGAAGATGAGATGTGAGGGAGTAATAAAAAGACACAAGACCTGTTTGAATGGGAGGTGAGAAAAATAAATTCACAAGAAAAAAAACCTGGGAAACATGGAAAGATGAACTTATTACTGTATTTTCTTTTTTAGCATATGAGCAATAAAACAGAAATAAATGAGTCTGTTTATTAATAATACAATAAGACAAAATAATTAATGAGAACCTTTGTGGTACCACAATTTCAAGCGGAATAATAATTAGAACAATTTTCTGTAACAGTATGCAGTAAGTTAAAAACTACTGATGAGCAACTACCCAAAAAACACTTCATGACAAAGAGCAGCTACTCACTGTGTACAGAAGAAATGTTACACTGACAGTTGAAAGGCAATACAATGTAAAAGCATGTGATGCCCCCACATCATCCTGGGAAAAAAACAGCAAGCAAGAGACCTAGAAGGCAGTACTGTATTCCCAGTTACTGACTGGGCCTTAAATCAAATGATTGAGAAAGATCCTGAACCTCCACGCTGGCCCCTTTGTACTGCTTCTTGTAGTGTTTTAACAGGGCAGCTGGGGATCCCCGACTCTCAGGAGGAAAATCCCTAACTCACATAAAGTTGACATCAGCAACTCTATGCCACCTTTCCCAGAGTGTACCGGGGATGAAAGGTGGCAGGCTGGGGATGAGAGATAGCATGGACAGAGCATGCTGTGCTTTAGCAAACCCTATGGGCATAATCTTCCCTAGAAGTCTGTTACAAGCAAGTTACAGCAACCCTCCTCAGATATGCTGGGCAGAACTTTAGTGCACTTTAGAATATGGGCCAGTGGGACTTGATATGACCTTTATTGGTTATGGCTAAGGTTGTCACAGATACTTTTAGTAAAAGTCACAGACAGATCACAGGCAATAGTGAAAAATTCATGGAAGCCCGTGACCCGTCCATTACTTTTACTAAAAATATCCATGACAAAATAGGGAGCCTGGGTAGCTGTGGGTGGGCTCAGAGGTCCAGGGTCCCCCTCCTCTGGTGGCTCTGAGCTGCAGGGGTTTTCCCTGCCACCCGCGGCTACCGGGAGCCTCCCCTAGCGTCCACGGAGGTAGAGAACTCCGGGGGATCCCCATGCCACCCGCGGTGGATGGGAGCAGCAGGGGTCCCTCTTGCCACCCGCGGAGGTGGAGAGTTGCAAGGGTCCCCCCTGCTGCCAGCGATGGCTGGGAGCTGCGGGGGGGGGGGGGGGGTGTCCACCTGTTGCATCTGGGAGCTGTGGGATACTCCTGCCACCAGGCAGGGGACCCTGCAGCTCCCAGCCGGGGCTGCCTGAAGTCACGGAAGTCTTTGGAAGTAACACATTCTATGACTTCCGTGACCTCAGTGACTAAATCACAGCCTTAGTTATGGCTAAGGCTAAGATTTTATCATGGATATTTTTAATAAAAGTCACGGACAGGCCACGGGCAATAAAGAAACATTCACGGAAGCTTGTGACCTGTCTGTCATAGATATTTTTAGTAAAGGTCACAAAGTGGGGGGCTCAGCTGCGGGGTCCCCACACCACCCGCAGCAGCTAGCAGCTGTGGGGACCCGCTCAGAGTTCCAGGGTCCTCCTGCTGCCTGTGGCACCCAGGAACTGCAGGGAACCCCGCCACCCACAGCAGAGGAACCCTGCAGCTCCCAGCCACCGTTGGGGGACCGTGCAGCTCTCAGTCGCCATGGGCTGAAGTCATGGAGGTCACTTGAAGTCACAGATTCCGTGACTTCCACGACCTCTATGAAAAAATCATAGCCTTAGTTATGGCATTAACCTAGGAATTGGTTAAATTCCCTTTTCCACCACAAAACTTCCTGTGTGACTTTGGGCAAGCCACTTAGGCCCAGATCTTTTAAGGAGTTTAGGCTTCTAACTTCCACTGATTTTAATGCAGTTTAGGATCCAAAATACGTCTGAGGATCTGGGCGCTAGCATCTCAGTTCTGCAGTTCCCCATCTGTAAAATAGGGATAACAACATTTCCTTACCTCACAGGGGTGTTGTGAAGATAAACACAAAGTTTGGGAGGTGCTCTGAGATTTACTGATGAAAAGCACTATGTACAGTAAAACCTCAAAATTACGAACATCAGAGTTACAAACTGACCAGTCAATCACACACCTCTCATTTGGAACTGAAAGCATGCAATCAGCCAGCAGCAGAGGCAAAAACAGTACAGTACTGTGTTAAACGTAAACTACTAAAAATGAAGGGAAAGTTTTAAAAAGATTTCACAAGGTGAGGAAACTGTTTTTGTGCTTGTTTCATTTAAATTAAGATGGTTAAAAGCAGCATTTTTCTTCTTCAAATTAAAGTTTCAAAGCTGTATTAAATCAATGTTCAGTTGTAAACTTTTGAAAGAACAACCATAATCTTTTGTTCAGAGTTACGAACAACCTCCATTCCCGAGGTGTTTGTAACTCTGAGGTTCTACTGTAAAAGACCCAGATCATCATCTTCTCAGGACATACATTAAATTTAGTGCTCGCCCTCGAGCAAATGGCACCCCAGGCGAAGAGAGTCTTCGGTGCCCCTCTGCCATTTGTTAAACTTTTGAATACCTTATTTAATATTGCATTTGTAGCCCATTTCACAACCCATGATACACGATTTGCATGCATGATTTATCCCTGTCATCATAGGCTCAGACTCCAAAAAAATAGTGGGTGCTCAGCACCCACTGGCCACAGCTGTTTCCTGCCCCCACTCATCAGCTGATGGGGGCTGCATGGCTGCCAAACAGCTGATAGGGGGTGCAGGCTGCTCCAAGCACCTGATAGGGCTCAGTGCCACCACCTAACAGCTGTTTAGCGGCTTGGGGTGTGGCTTGGGAGAGGGCTGAGAGTTGAGGGAGGAAGAGGAGAGAGAGGGGGTGGAAAAAGGCAGAGCAAAGACAGGGCCTTAGGGGAAGGGGCAGAGTGAGGGTGAGCACCTCTGGGGAAAAGAAAAAGTCAGCACCTATGCCTGTTTTATATGACAATAAATTTGCATGCAAAGATCTGTAAATCTGTATTTATTCATACCATATATAAGCAAATAAAAAAATTAATTTCCTCTAAGGTTATCAAAACTTTTTAATTGAAATGCACTATCAAGAAATTAAACTGTGCACCAACATTGGGTGAACCAGTATTAAATAGCTTACAGTAGGTGACAGCCTTAGAATGTTAACCCTAGTCCTTTAGTTCAAAAGGTCGCTTTTCTCGCCTGTGCCCTCATGAACTGAAGCACAGCAGCATCAGAGAGTCCAAAGACTGACCAATGGCATTTTCAAGTGATAAAATAGCAAGCGATGTCAGTCTCTCATTGGCCATCGTCTATCTAAGATATGTTTTAATGAGCCTGAGCTTCAAAAAGCTGCGCTTACCACTCGCAGCTGTGACCAGCAGCATGAGCAGAATCCTAACAGCTATCCACACATTAGGAAAAGCG